AAGAAAAATTTGCAAATATGTTTTGCGTTTTTGATATGTTGTCAAACTGTTGCTTGACATGTGAAGACGGCGATGGCGACAGTGGCAGCAACAGTAGTAGTAGCAGCAGTTGTAGATAAATATGGCAGATGGAAGGAATGATATAGTCATCAGGATAAAATATCTATGGGTATATCTGTTACTAAAGGGCTGCGGCCAGTAAGTGATGGTTCAATCTCTTGTTCTTTCCGATGTCCAGCCAAGGCAAACCAGACACTTCCTAACAGCAGAACAGCACACAAAAAGCCAATTGCCTGCAAGAAAATAGACTAAAATGAATTATAGTGCCTTCAGTTTTGTGCCATTTAAATAAATAACACATATGGCTTCATCTAGAGACCTTTGTAAAGAAGGGAGGAAAAAAAGAACAAGAAAATGGAAAAAAAAAGGAGAAAGAATGTGGGGGGAAAAAAAAGGGAAAAAAGTGTGGGGGTGGAGAGAAAGAAAGTGGGGAAAAAAGGGAAAGAAAAAGTGAAGGAAAAGATTATATATATATATATATATATATGTATGTATGCATATATGTGCATATATATATATATATATATATATATATATATATATATATATATATATATATATATATATATATGAAATGGACAAAAGTCCGACAATTATTTTAAAGACATTTTTATGTTTAACATTCTTTTTATAGATACAAGTATTTAAGTAAACACTGTTTATTATAAACAGAGCATTTACTTAAATACTTGTATCTATAAAAGAATGTTAAATATAAAATATATATATATATATATATATATATATATATATATATACACACACACACACACATATATATATATATATATATGGTTAAAATTTGATATATTCATAGGGGAAGCATGCACAGTATCAAAGAGAGTGTTTGTAGATAAAGACAATGTAGAGATAGGAATAAACACTACATTGTTTAACATGTAAAGCAATCTTCAGAACCCTGTTTGTGGGTTCTATATACAAGCGACTGGAGGATTAAGAAAAGCAAGAGAAAGGAGAAAACAAGTCATTCTAAGTTCTTTTGTTTAGAACTAATGCTTTAGGTTATTTTTAGCCACAACATTTAGTTTGCTTATTGAAATTTGTTTTATTTATTATACATTTCATGGATTCCATTTTTTTTTAATTCTTAGGTAGGCTTGATTTATTTGCAAATGGTATTAGAATAATCTAGAACGTATGCTGGAAGCAAACTGCCTGCATACGGATAGAAAATGAATTCAGTTAATACACAATAGAAAAGGGATGTAAGACAAGAATGTGTCTTCTCACCAGACGTATTCAACCTTTACAGTGAGGCAATTCTGAGAGAATTAGAAGTCTTACTAGGACTGATGGCCACAATCTTAACAACATAGGATGTGCAAATGACACAGTGTTAATAGTGAACATAGAAAGGAAACTACAGCTATTCCTAAAGAAGCTAGTAAAAGAAAGCAAGAAGAAAGGACTAATCATCAATTGTAAGAAAACGGAATGCAAAGTTGTTAAAAGAAACAGGCTAAGATATGAACTACAAAGTAGAGACATCAAAATTTTTGTACTTGTTTAAGTACAAAAGAAAGTCAATAATTTTAAACATGGGTCCAAGAAATTTTTAAAATGGTCCTGGATTTGGCCTGAGGAAAATAGGTGGGCTTTGAAATTCTACTCTTTGCACTGGCATAAAATTATGAAAACACTGCTTTATTTTATTTTTCAAGGTAAATAATTCAGAAATTATTTAAATAAAATTTTTGATGTTTTCTTGTTATAATCAACCATATTTTGAAAAATTTTTGAAACTTTTTTTTTGTTAGTTTGTGCAGCGTTAGAAAAACACAAAGTTAAGTTTATTTATTTCCCATTTATTTGAGACAAGTATGTTTGATGCATTTAATGTGAGTTATTGAGTTACAATATGACAGAATTAATAAAAATGTTATTTTAGTTTTTGAAAATATTACTTGAGCTATATTATATCAACACCATTAATCCATATTTCCACCATTAGTTATTTATAATTTATCAAACTTTCTTATTTACAGGCAATAGTCAGGATTTATATTTTCTACTACACTTTGCTTTTGTAAATAAAATGTAGAAGTAGTCAACTGCTAGAAGTGTCAAGTGAATTCCACAATTTGTTGCAGAAGGAAAAAGATATGTCGGCTCTAAGCAAACAAGCAAATGTCATGCTATACCCGGAAAAAATCTCCTTAGTTCTGGTGGCATCTGGGAGGTATCTGCAGACCTTCCTGGTTGGCGTAATGATTACCCCAAAATAATATCAAGTAAAGGTCTGCGACCAGATATTGTTCTTCTGTCAAGAGTGAACCATAAAATCATCCTGGTTGAGTTAACAGTACCATATGAATGCCGGATGGAACAAAGCCACGATTATAAAACTAATAAATATGAAAATCTAAAGTCAGAGCTAATAAAGGAGGGGTATAATGCAATTGTTAGAGCACTGGAAATTGGAGCAAGGGGTTTCGTTTCAGGCACTCTGTACCAATTTCTGGGCCAAATTGGAATCAAAGGGCGTAATAGGGCCAAGAGTATAAAACGCCTAATAGAAGTAACAGAAAATAGTTCTATGTGGATATGGAAAAACGAAATACTCCGTGGAGTGTTTCAGCGAACATGACGGCATGACATGTCTGATCGTGAATGCGTAATGAGGTTTTGTAAATTTAATTTTGCCGTTACACATTTGAACTAGTTTATCTACAACACTTGTATATCGTTATAATGGGGCCTCACATCAGTGAGAGGGGCCGGTGTGCAACTGAAACCGTTGAGAGGAAGGCCCTGAAACGGTGCACATTCTCTCCTGATGACCCCAGTTTAAAATTCGAGAGGAACACATCAAAATTCAGTGAAGTCATATGCCGTAGTGAAGCTCGGTGGAAGTGTCATTGACATGAGGAGCATTATACATTCAGCTTGCTTCAGGTGAGTTTCAATTACTTTCCAGTAATTTCCTTCTCCAACAGCAGAATATCTACCAACCACACCATGTGGTCAGATATGGCACAAGGCCGAATTTAATGTGGAGTATCCAAGGCCGTAGGCTCAGCCAAAAATTCCCCATAGACCCCATATAAAACAGGGTCGGGTAGCTGTTTCCCCCGAGATGAGACTGTCCTTCAACATAGCCTCATCTGGGCATCCTCCCTGCCTGGAGGTAGAGAGTTTGACCAGCTTAACTGGAGACAAATCTCCAACTGCAGACCAACATACAGTATTTACTACTGTATTTATCGAAATAGGGACATACACATTATTGTCTGTAGGTATGCTACAATATTATTAGAGATATTCAGGTGACATAATGATTATTAGTAGGTACCACCAAAGATTTACTAAAAAATGAGATACATGATGAAAAAATGTCTAAAACTTAATAAAAACAAAGTTTTAGTATCAAAATCCTTGTTATTATTAAGAGGAAAGGATATTTTTGATTACTAAATTATATTTTTTTAATCCTTTTCAGAACCTTCAAAATTTTGCTTAAAAACTGTTTTTTTTGTGTCAATGGTTGGCATTAAATTAGTATGGGAAATTTGAGTATCTTTTTGCAGTGAAAAACATTGATTTGGAAATTCTTACAAAAATTAAATAATTGTCAAATTTTAACGAAACTTTCAGGACTTGTTCACAAATGAATGAAATTATTTTTGAAACATTTCTTTTTTTTATAAATTCTTAGTAAAAATATTTTTTGATATCTGTTACCCCTTCTCTACACTTATTTAATATTATGAAATTTAAAAAATTCATTTTTATTAGTGCTTAATGTTTAAGGCTAGTTTTTTTATATTCACTACACACTAATAACAATGTAAAAGGTAAGGATTTTTTTTTTCCTGCAGCTGTATTAAGACAAACCAAGCTCTTTAGTTTTAGTAGGGTAACTAGCCTAGGAAAATGATAACAGTACCAACAAGTCATAAACAAACACAAGATAACTAATTCCTTGTCCTATTTGAGGGACCTTAGGGAAAGCTAAAGTCCTCCAATGGATTGAGAAAAAATAATTGATTAAAAGTATTGATTAAGCTTAGCTTAGTTTGGTATAATATAAAATAATAGTTTAGTAGATTATTTTTAGAGGGAAGTGTATCGCTGCTCTGACTTCTGAGGGTTGACCTTTGAGGTCAGATGGAAGACAAAATATAAAAGTTGATTTTGGTTGGCTGAGCCAGCATGGGAATGACAGATACAGAAAAAGGGTTTTCTGGGAGTCAAGTATTAACCATCAAACAATGCAGATGTGATTTCTTTCATGTCAGAAATGGCTTCCCAGCGGAGGGAGAGTGACCCCACTGGATAATTAGAGATGTATACATCGATGTTAATAAAATAGCTAAGTTAAAATTCCCTGTGTTAAAGTTCATTTTTCTCTGGACCCCAAAACATTTTATGTTGGGAGAAGACGAGAAAGAAAAGATACAACATATGAGTGAATCAATGCTGTCGTCCAAGAGCTCCTCAGAATGAGAGGGCTATACAACAAGGTCACAGTAATGGTGTACTTGTAAAGTTTAACTCTCCTAGTTAGCAGTCTGCTCAATCAACTTTCTCACTATCTTTCTAAGCTAAATAACCAAAGAAATTAACAAAACTTAAGTTACTGTTCTAAATCATATGGGTATCTAGTGAGGACTGCAATTACTATACAGTTGTAAAAGTCTGCTAGTCTAGCTTATTAGCCGTAACTATAACCATGTCACAAAATGACCCTAGGTATTTACCAAACTGTCACAAGGTCAGAATAGAGAGACACTCATGGGAATAAAACTCCTTACACCAGTAAATGATTTGCCAGACTAATTTACTAACCATTATAGGAAACTCAATGCTCCATTAATACTAATTTTTATATTAAAGTGTGGACATAGAAAGCTATATTACGTGATGGCTTAAGAGATAAATCAAACATTTCATTGGGCATCAATGATTATATTCAAAGATTAGATCGCTAACAGTGAACACTCTTTCCCCATAAATATAGACATTTTCAACGTTATGCAATATATATGGTAGCAAGAAGTGACAGAGAAAAGAGAGAGTAAAAAAGAGAGAGAGAGAGAGAAAGAGAGAGAGAGAGAGAGTAAAAGAGAGAGAGAGAGAGTAAAAGAGAGAGAGAGAGTAAAAGAGAGAGAGAGAAAAAGGAGTAGTAAAAGAGCAAGACAGGAAGAAAGTGAGTGAAAGAGAGAGTTAAATAGAGAGTGAGAAAGAGAATGAAAGAGAGAGAGAGTGAAAGAGAGTAAAATAGAAAGAGAGAGAAATCGAGAGCAATAGAGAGAAATCGAGAGCGATAGAGAGAAATAGAGGAATAGAGAGGGATAGAAAAAGAGAGAGAAATAGAAAGGGAGAGAGAGATAAAGGGATAGAGGGATTAAGAAATAGAAAGAGAGGGGAAAAAGAGAAATAGAAAGAGAGGGGGAAAAGAGAAATTGAAAGAGAGAGAGGGGGAAAAGAGAAATTGAAAGAGAGAGAGGGGAAAAAGAGAAATTGAAAGAGAAAGGGGGAAAAATTGAAAGAGGGATAGAGAAATAAAAAGAGAGGGAGAAACAGAAATAGAAAACGGGAGAGAGAAACAAAAGTGAGAGAAAGCAAGAGAGAATAGAAATATATATAGAGAAAGAAAATAGAAATATATAGAGAGAGAGATAATAGAAAGAGAGAGGGGGAGAGATAATAGAAAGAGAGAGGGGGAGAGATAATAGAAAGAGAGAGGGGGAGAGATAATAGAAAGAGAGAGGGGGAGAGATAATAGAAAGAGAGAGGGGGAGAGATAATAGAAAGAGAGGGGGGAGATAATAGAAAGAGAGAGGGAGAGATAATAGAAAGAGAGAGGGGAGATAATAGAAAAAGAGAGGGGGGAGAGATAATAGAAAGAGAGAGGGGGAGAGATAATAGAAAGAGAGAGGGGGAGAGATAATAGAAAGAGAGTGAGAGATAGAAAGAGAGTTAAATCGTGTAATATGATAAAAATAATAAAAGAACTTTTTCATCCTAATTACCAAATGTACATTTAATTCAGTGATGAATATCAATCATATAGAACAAGCGTTATACAGTGAAAATTTGGTATCCTAAATCAGCAGCTAAATCAAGCTACAGGCTTACTGGTCCACCACAACACTTTTGAAATTAATTTCCAGTAGTACTCAACACATCTTCAAATGATGACCCCCCCCCAGATTCAGACATGGTTTCTTGGCTGGAGTATAATCTTCATCAACCCAGAATACCCCAGCAATATCTTACAATCCCCCACCAGACATTGGAAAATTCAATAATGTGGTTTAACCATTGTTCCATAGCAAGGTGTCTAAATATCGGAACAGACAGAGAGAGATACTCACAAGGGCTCCTTCTATTTGGCTGAAATTGATTCTGGCCTCTTTCACAGCAACAGACATGCTCAAGTTGGACAAGCTAACGGCAAGTAAACTTCCCGAAACGATCCAAAAAGTCATCAGTAAGAGATTAGCGCTTAGATCCTGAAAACAAAAATGAAAAAGTTATTTAACCAAACACTTTTCAAATAACTTCTTCAAAACAAAACAAAAAATACTACAGATTCTTAGATGTCAATTTATTTTTTAACAAGCTTAAAAACTGCACTCTGTGTAGACTTTTAAATTCCTGTGGAGGGCTAATTTGGCCTCTGTCCCAAAACTAAAGAAACCTCTGGTCCAGCTTAGAAAATAGCAATGATAATTTTGAAGAAATAACTTTGAATTCCTCAATTCACTCCATGGAACTTCAAAACCTCACTTTAACTTTGATTCAGGCTATAAGTTCAATTCCGACCAAAATCCCAATTTGGACCAAAACACCTATTTGGGCAGAAATTCCAATTCAGCTTATTGGGTTTTTCAAATCACAAACTCTGTGGAACTTCAAAACCTCATGTCACAAAACCTCACACTTTAACTCTGATTCCTTGACATTTTGAAAAAATAAAAATGATTTCCTCAATTCACAAAATTTTGGCAACATTTTAAACTGAATTTAAAACAAAAAATTTTTAATTCAAAGTTTGTGTTACTTTAAACTCAATATAAATTAAAAATTTAAAATCGCTAAATTTTTCATTTATTTTAAAATTTGAATTTTTAACTGTTCCTTCCTCATCCAGACTCAAATTTGAAGGCTGAATGGTCAAGTACAAATGAAGGGCAGATTTTCAATCATCCTGATTCCAAAAAGTTATAATAATCCTATGTAGAGCTTGTGTGGCCTGAGTTAGAGGCGTTTTAGACACACAGACGAACAGACAGAATTTCCTGTTTATTAATTTAAACTGGATAAATACACCTATCCTTGTTTTTAACAAATGAAAATTTATTTTGATAGTGTTATCATTACATTTGTCCAATATGCAAAAAATTATTTACACTGTTTACATGGAGACTACTATCCTCATCATTGTTGTTATTATGTTTCAGCGACTGGACTGAAGAATGAAACAGACAGTCACTGCAAGATGTTGACCTGAATATCCATTTTTATATTTACATACACTATTCCTGATAATGAGCATTTTAACCCATAAATATGGCATACCTTAAAACTATATTTTTATCATATATGTGAATAAAGACAAAAGGAAAATTTATCTTAGCTGACACATTTCATCTTCTGATGGACTTTATCAGAGCAGATGTAAAGATCTTATTTTGCAATAAGTATTTATAAACAGAAGTAAAAATATTGTTAGTCCTTCAAAATCTTTAAATTTAAGAATGCTCATCAATATACTTCAGGTGAACTGAAAGTCAAGGTAAACTATGGCAGATGCTAAGTGATATAATTTAATGCCTAATGAATGAAAGTGAGTAAATGTTGTTGAATTTTTTTTTAATGTGATTATTAACTATTTTGAGTTACTAAAGGGAATTAACTGAAACTAAAATTGAATGGAATTAGAACAATCTATCCCTGCGGACTAAATAAAGGGTTCAGCTTGAAATTCCAATGTATATCACCTAAAGAAGGCCGGAGCATACATTGGCTGAAACGTCGCCAATATGACAATAAAGATGAGGACAACAATCCAAACAATGTTAATATATAAATAGTTACAATACCTCATATCGGAAAGATAGTCAGATATTTTATTTTAGTTTGATAAATGATTTCATTTATTTATTTATTTAAATAATAATTTCTTAAACGACTAATTACATCACTTTACGTCTTTTTACAGATATATTTATAGTGATCTGAATTTTTATATATAGGCATGTGGTTAGAACATTCCCTTCCCAACCATGAGATCCAGGTTCAAATCTTAACATGGTTGGTTATTGACCTAGAGCAGTGGTTCCCAAACTTTTTTTTTCTGTGATTTATGTTTTCATAATGAATATTTGCTCACACCTCATCAAATTTTATGTGATAACAAGTACATTTAAAAATAAAAAACAGAAAGAGGGTTAAAGGGAAATAACCACAGATTTGAAATCAGAACATAATCATCGATAACTCTCTCCTCCAATTTGCAAACCCTAATTACTATATTCTTAATATTGATATAATGCAAAAATATCACAATGATAAAATTGATCATGGAGAAGCATGCTCAAAGGAAAGAAAACAACAGAGTGACATTGGGTAAGAGTGTCTTTACATGCATTCATTGCAATCGACTTTCACTCCTATATGAGCCAGTACAATGATAACAGATGCTGCACTACCATCAACAGATGAGGCATAACTTTTTGGGGGGTGCAGATCCATGCTGTCTCAAGACCAACAGATGCCACACACAAATATATGGATACATATGAATATTACCAAAAATACAAATGTATAATTGTATTAATATAGAATTGTATACAATATACATATATATATATATATATATATATATATATATATATATATATATATATATATATATATATATATATATATATTAGTGGAAAATATACATATGAAAATATATAAATACCCATACATGTATATTTTTAAAAAAAAAAATTCAAAGAGGAAGAATCCAAGTAGAACTCAATGTCTAGTACAGAGTAAGGATATAATAAAAAGCTTAAAACTAATATTCCATGGTCATAATTTATTCCATTGAATCGATGATTCAATTCATCAGACCTATAAATTCAAAAAGAAAAAAGAAAAAACCAACTCCGAAATAAAACAAAATTTCTGTTTTTATTTCTGGAGCTGGGGTTTTTTCTGTTTCTTGAATTTATAGGTCTGATGAATTGGATCGTATTTACATTCCAATGGAATAAATTATGACCATGGAATATTAGTGTTTGTTTTTATTATTTTTATATATATATATATATATATATATATATATATTATAAATATTAATATATTGCATTGGACAGAAAATCCTGACTCACTGAGGAAGCGGAAAGAAAACAACAAAATTTTATGGAGAATACCAACATTTATTTTTCAAAATAAAGTCCATCATTCTCAACGATCTGCCAACAATCAGCCAGCATTCAAATCTGTCCCAGATACCAATCCATTGGCTTTGAATCAAAAGAACTCTAAAGAAGCTTTCTTCACTTCATCAAAAGTGTTTAATCATTGGTCGCAGAGAAAGTGTGCCATTGAGTAGAATAGGCCAGTCACTTGGAGCAGCATCAAGATTGAATGGTAAATGTGGAGGAATCTCAACATCATCCATCTGTTTGAACTTCTTAGTCAACCTGACAGTGTGTGGCCTCGCATTGTCTTGCTGAAATAAAGCTTGATCTTGATTAACCAAAGCAGGATAATCCTCCTTTAATTCATTGTACACATGGTCTAGCTGCCAACAATACAGTTTGGTATTGATGGCACAACTGTGTGGAACAAGCTCGAAATGCAGTACTCCTTGGAAATTCTACCAGAGATCAAGATTTGTTGTTTTCTTTCCGTTTCCTAAGTGAGTCAAGACATATTTTTTTGTGATAATAAATCGATATATCCCCTCTTAAGTAACCAAAAAACATCTAAGTCCCAGATTTA